TTATTGTTGAAATACACAGTCCTGAAAAAGGGACGTTTCTTTTTTTGCTGAGTATATAATCTCCATCTCCTCTCCAAAGTGTGACATACGTCTTATTAATTAATCACCAGTATAGGATCGGTACTCGGGATCGACTGATACCCAAAGCCCACGCATTGGTATCAGTATCGGAACTGAAAAAGTTGGATCGGTGCATCCTGATTATATACAGGCAATTCACAGAGATGGAAAAGTAAATATGCTTTCTTACATTATCATTGGCAGGCTCCTCTTCCATGGCAGCCTGGATGCCATATGCTAAGAAGCAGAGGATGGCACCAGTCCACAACAGCATGGAGAACCCTCCAAACATCTGCTTACAGAACTTGACCCACTCTGGGGTGGTGGGGGGCGGGGTTAACGCATTAGGACCATCCCGTGCAAAGATTTCTGCTGCACGAGCACCTGTCAGTCCCTGAAAGATTAAACAGATCATCCAGTAGTGCACGGCCACAAAAAGCACATAAAGCTGGAATACATTAAACATTTCTGGAAATGAACAGAATCTATAGCGTATTTTAAACAACAAGAGTCACAACATTAACTATCAACTACAACCCCTGTCTGCTTCAGTAGAGTATATAATACCACAGCTGGTGTTTGTGGTTAATTCAATGGTATGAAATTGTACGAAAGTGTACTGACTGGAAGACAAGACTGTACAATTCTGTTTGATCTGGTGCACAATAAAAACTGCATTTATGTGAAGAACTGGAACACAGAGCTATTGTGTGTTGATAAGGAAGGAAATCATGTATACAGCACAAGCCTGACAATAGCGCCTAGCTCAGATGAATGGCTGCCATCTTAAATCACCCTGAATAAAAAGGGCAGCTATTAAAAAGAACAACAAAAAAACTCCTGAATATATTATATATACACTATTGTTTAAGAAACTCAGTGAGAAACTCACCCGATTTAGATCTGTACCATATTTGCGTTGAAGTTCATCCAGCGTAAGCTTATGGTCATCCTACAAAATAAACATATACATAGAATCGGACACACACAAGCGCCGCATAAATGAAAACTTTCACAACCAAGTCAAGTACCAATAACTCACCAAGTCAACTTCCTTCTTTAGCTCATCCATATCCTTCTCTTTCTTCTTTGCTTTGGACTTCTTCTTGCTTGCCTGCTCTGAGGTTGCTGCCAGCTCATACTGGTCCCGTCCATCCTGAGACAAATGGATAGCAGCCATCTTTAGGCCCACAGTATACGAGCTTCAAGGTTGTTTATTTAGAGAAGAATGTTAAGGTGTTGTGTATACTACATTTACTTAGCTGACACTTATCTAAAGCAATATGAATCTAAGAAAGCAGGGCCAGGCAGCCCCTGGAGCAATTGGGAGTTGAGGGCCTTGCACAGGGGCCAAATGGTAACTTCAACCACAGGGCTTAAACTAGCGACCTTCCGATGACAGATGCAGTGTCTTAACCCACTGAGCCACACACCACTCCAGAGACTGAGTGTTATGAAGCAAAGTATGGTAGCTTATGGTATATTGTAGAAATACATTTTTGTTAAATGTGTGAAATGTACTTTTCTTGCATAGCTGAAATAGAATGCATAATTGAGTATGATGAATATGGATGCTACTGGTATCCTGCCCAAGGTGCAAACCCCAGCCTTGTATATCATCTGCTGGCTAGCACAGGCTGTAGCCCCCCCTGACCCTGACCTGGAAATCCTACTACTAGTTTGTGCTGGCAGCGAGCTGTCAATAAAGGCAGAATTTTCATTCTAAAAGAGCAGCCTTTATCAAAGTGATATTCTTCAGAATGATCCAAAAGCTTACAGCAGTATGTAGTAGTAATGTTAATAACCAATTGAGCATTTAACCAACAAATCTTTACAAAAACACTGCTTGCAGCATTATAGTAATAAACTTTTTACGATATGCACATATTTCAAAAAATCATTTTAACAATTTTTTTTTTTTTTTTAAATACTAAAGTTTCAAAAGTTGAGTACAAATGAACTTGTATCCCTTCGGTCAGTAACTATGCACACAACGGAGTATACACAACAGCGTCACTTACACTTAATTGAGACAGCAGCCCCTCGTGTATCACAACCTGTAGCGAGTGCGCAAAACAGCCCAAGCCCATTGCTTTTTTCATGTTACTCGCATTGTTTTTCACAATTGTTTGCACTTTGTTTAGTATGATTTTCCACTAAATGCTACTCCCACCTCTCAAAACTTTTACAAAGACTGCAAATCCCTGTGCTACTAGTTGCTGTTAAAAGTGTAAAATACTCCCAAACTGTCACCTTCATATCTGATGTTCTTATGCTTCTTGTACTGCAAAGCATTTGCGCATGATGTCACAGCAGGTGCTCACACCCACGGAGTAGCAAAAAACCTGAGTGGCAAAGTTATCACTCAGCTTGAATGCCGCAACACACACATCTGTCGTGCAACTGAGTGTACAAAAACATTTAATACGAAATAGGAGTCATGATTTTAGGTACTGTCAAAAACTAAATAGGTAAGTATTGGACGTGGATTGGTCATGTATGGCCGATACCTGATCTGGCACATAGGTCTGGATCGGCATCTCTAGTTGCTACCTCTTGCATGAATGGTATCTTTGCATAGTTTGCAAATTATAGTGCCCAGCCAACATGCCTGTGTGGGTCCACCATGGGCAGGTGTAGGTTTACTGTGGGCCAGTGTGGGCAGGGCAAACCCACACTAATCCCATGTGGGTCCCCTATTGGTTGACTCCTCAACAGCAGGTATGTTTGCAATTTGCCATGCGTCTTACTTGCTAATCTGTTTTTCTAAAAAACATGACCCTATCATCATCCATTTCACATTAGGTATACTAGTTCAACTCTGAGAACACAGAAAAAAATTCTAGTAACAGACACAGTTTATAGCCAGAACTATAAGCATGTTCTACAAACATTAGTAAATGAGTAAAGAGACTTTTTGATTTACACTCACCTAAAGGATTATTAGGAACACCATACTAATACGGTGTTTGACCCCCTTTCGCCTTCAGAACTGCCTTAATTCTAC